GGTTTGTGGTATATGGCCAATATACCACGGCTAAGAGCTGTATCCAGGCACTTAAGAACAGCCCTTAGCCGTGGTATATTGGCCATATACAACACCCCCTCGTGCCTTATTGCTTAAATATGAACACCTAAGTGGATCTTATCTGTATGTAGTCATATAATATGAAAAGATACCCACTGACGACTTTTATGAGTGAGACAAGGTTGTTGCTGAGGGGCCTAAGTAACACTACACAGAGAGAAACAATGTCAATCACGGGAGGTTGGTGGAACCTTAATTGAGGAGGGCAGGCTCGTGGTAATGGCTGGAGCGGAATGGGATCAAATACATGTGTTTGATGCCATTCCATTCGCTCCGTTCCAGCCATTATTATGAGCCTTCCTCCCCTCAGCAGCCTCCGGTGATGTCAATATACCTTTATTGTGAGTGTGCCAGTAATGAGGCATATTTTACTGGGGGAAATGGCAACTTCTCCTGAGGCACCATGTCAACTGAATGTGATCCTTGATAAAACAGGAGGCTCACCAATCAATCTCTCTAGGTGGCCCACAGCCAGAGAAAGCCACTGCATCAAGTGTTTGCCTTGCGTCATAGTGACAAGTTAACATACAGGCAGCAGAGTAACCATCCACAAGCAGCCTCTAGCTGTCTTATAATGAATTCCCAAAGGGATGGGGAACTATCGAAGTCAGTGGTGTTACTGGAGGCGCGGAATAAAGTCAACAGCTCTCCTTTAACCCACTGTTCCCCAGGCGCCGATGACGTGGATGTCGATTAAGGCAGCCCCCCGCACCTCTCTGATTCAGAGGGGTTGGGTTAAATGCGGAAGAAACATTCCAGTTGAATGTATTCAGTTGTACAACTGACTAGGTATACCCCTTTCCTTATACCTTAGAGGTTAAGGAACCCCATTTGCGCACACACCCCATGTGCACACAAAGGCTTTGGAAAAAGGAAACATACAATGTACACCGATTATGTACACATTCAATAGAACTATTATAGAAAAATCATAGTAAACATTATTTCTATGAAGGTGTGAAATTGGGGCTTTTCAGTTATGAAACTTAAAACGAGTGGAGATTTTTGAATGAAGAATTAAATTATAAGAACTTAGAATAATGTATCCAAATGTCCAATAGATGTCCCTTGTGCGCCATCTACCACAGTAGGCTATACAGTGCCTTCAGAAAGTATTCACACCCCTTGACCTTGTCCACATTTTGTTGTGTTACAGCCTGAATTTAAAATAGATTAAATTGAGATGTTGTGTCATTGGCCTACACACAATACCCCATAATGTCAAAGTGGAATTCTGTTTTTAGAAATTTGTACAAATTAATTAAAAATGAAAAGCTGAAATGTCTTGAGTCGGTAAGTTTTCAACCTCTTTGTTATGGCAAGCCTAAATAGGTTCAGGAGTAAACATTTGCTTAACAAGTCACATAATAAGTTGCATGGACTCACTTTGTGTGCAATAATAGTGTTTAACATGATTTTTGAATGACTACCTCATCTCTATACAGAGGAGATTGGTGGCACCTTAATTGTGGAGAACGGGCTCATGGTAATGACTGGAGCGGAATTGTATCAAATACATCCAACACATGGTTTCCAGGTGTTTGATGCCATTCCATTTGCTCCGTTATTATGAGCTGTTCTCCCCTCAGCAGCCTCCGCTGTCTCTGCAATCACAATATCTGTAAGGTCCCTCAGTCGAGCAGTGAATTTCAAACACAGATTCAACCACAAAGACCAGGGAGGTTTTCCAATGCCTCGCAAAGAAGGGCACTTATTGGTAGATGGGTACAAATAAAAAAGCATACATTGACTATCCTTTTGAGCATGGTGAAGCTATTAATAACACTTTGGATGGTATATCAATACCCCAAGACACTACAAAATTACAGGCATCCTTCCTAACTCAGTTGCCGGAGAGGAAGGAAACCGCTCAGGGATTTCACCATGAGGCCAATGGTGACTTTAAAATAGTTACTGAGTTGAATGGCTGTGATAGGACAAAACTGAGGTTGGATCAACAACATTCTAGTTACTCCAGAATACTAACCTAAATGACAGAGTGAAAAGAAGGAAGTCTGTACAGAATAAAAATATTCAAAAAAATGCATCCTGTAAAAAGTAAAACTGCAAAGAATGTGACAAATAAATTAACTTTATGTCCTGAATACAAAAGCATTATGTTTGGGGCAAATCCAACACTACACATCACTGAGTACCACTCTTCATATTTTCAAGCATGGTGGTTGCTGCATCATGTTATGTGTATGCTTGTCATCGGCAAGGACTAGGAAGTTTATTAGGATAAAAATAAACAGAATAGAGCTAAGCACAGGCAAAATCCTAGAGGAAAACCTGGTTCAGTCTGCTTTCCAACAGACACTGGGAGACAACTTCACCTTTCAGCAGGACAATAACCTAAAACACAAGGCCAGATTTATACTGGAGTTGCTTACCAAGACAACATTGAATGTTCCTGAGTGGCCTCGTTACAGTTTTGACTTATATCGGCTTGCAAATCTATGACAAGACTTGAAAATGGCTGTCTAGCAACGATCAACAACCAACTTGACAGAACTTGAATTATTTAAAAGAATAATGTGCAAATATTGTACAATCTAGGTGTGCAAATCTCTTCGCTGCCAAAGGTGATTCTAACATGTATTGACTCAGGGGGTTGAATACTTATGTAATGAAGATATATCATTTTTTTGAAATGTTAGAATTTTACTTGCACTTTGACATTAGAGTGTTTTGTGTAGATCGTTGACAAAAAAAATACAATTCAATCAATAATAATCCCACCTTGTAACACAACAACATTTTGAAAAAGTAAAGGGATGTGAATACTTTCTGAAGGTCCTGTATCTCTTCAAATTGTGACTCAAGTTACTAACTTAAGTTACTAAAATGATCAGTTTTGGTAGGCTTAAAGTACACTATATATACAAAAGTATGTGGACACCACTTCAAATTAGTAGATTCAACTATTTCAGCCACAGCCGTTGCTGACAGGTGTATAATATCAAGCACACAGCCATGCAATCTCCATAGACAAACATTGGCAGTAGAATGGCGTTACTGAAGAGTTCAGTGACTTTCAACGTGGCACCGTCATAGGATGCCACCAAGTCAGTTCGACAAATTTCTACCCTGCTAGAGCTGCCCTGGTCAACTAAGTGCTGTTATTGTGAAGTGGAAATGTCTAGGAGTAACAGCGGCTCAGCCACAAAGTGGTAGGCCACACAAGCTCAAAGAAAGGGACCTGAAGCAGGTAGCGCGTAAAAATTGTTTGTCCTCAGTTGCAACACTCACTCGCGAGTTCCAAACTGCCTCTGGAAGCAACATCAGCACAATAACTGTTCGTGGGGAGCTTCATGAAATGGGTTTCCATGGCCAAAAAGCCACACACAAGCCTAAGATCACGCTTCACCATTTGGCAGTCCGACGGATGAATCTGGGTTTGGCGGATGCCAGGAGCAGGATTGCATAGTGCCAACTGTAAAGTTTGGTGGAGGAGGAATAATGGTCTGGGGCTGTTTTTCATTGTTCGGGCTAGGCCCCTTAGTTCCTGTGAAGGGAAATCTTAACGCTACAGCATACAATTACATTCTAGATGATTCTGTGCTTCCAACTTTGTGGCAACAGTTTGGGGAAGACCCTTTCCATTTTCAGCATGACATGACACCTGTGCACAAAGCGAGGTCCATACAGAAATTATTTGTTGAGATCGGTGTGGAAGAACTTGACTGGCCTGCACAGAGCCCTGACCTCAACCCCATCGAACCCCTTCGGGATGAATTGGAAGGCCTACTGCGAGCCTTCCAGCTTTAGGCCCAGCCACTAAGGTAAAACGTAAACAAACCATCTGTGGCAACAAACCATCAGAATCATAACACCCTTCAAAGCAGGATGATACATATGCAAATAAATTATGACTGGTCATTGGTCAGAATAATCAGATCATATTGTGATGTCATGCTGTGGGCCAAAAACTCCATCCCAACTGAACAGGCTAAAATTCCATGTGTACATTTTTTTCAAAATGCTCTTACACTAAAAGGGCATTATCATTATTTTTACAATTTCAGAGTGTTATTTCAACCTCATTGTGTGGAATTATCATTTAAAAAAACGGAAAATCAATTTGACTGCACTGCCCAATGAATTACTGACTGCCGCCATGTTGACACTGCCGGTGCAACACAGGTAACCACCAGGTGTCACAATAAACACATAAAAAGTTGTTTCTTATAAATATATGTATTTTCCCGCAAATAATATATTATACATTTCATACACATCTTACATTCCATAATATTATTTCAACAAATTATTGTTTATTAAAATGTCTCTAACAGTAGTAGCCAATCACTTGAATTGCTTTAAAGACTCTTTCAACAGGTACGCTTCTTAGGTTACATTTACAACCATACATACTTTACTTTCCACTGCAGTCATCAACATGAGGGGTGAGGATCCATTTGAATTAATCCAGTTTTTCTGTTGTCTCAATTAAATTGCAAGGAGTAGGGCCGAGCCTAAATGTAGACTGACTCAAACATAGACAAAACTGCCTACAGCTGGGGATGAATGAATGGGTGGATGATAGCTGTGGTCTTCTGTAGCTCAATTGGTAGAGCATGGCGCTTGAAACGCCAGGGTAGTGGGTTCGATCCTCGGGACCACCCATACGTAAAAATGTGTGCACACATGACTGTAAGTCGCTTTGGATAAGCGTCTGCTAAGTGGCATGTTATTTTTTATTATAACTTAAAGATGCTTGGTGACATGTCGAAATTACGTCATTGTGTTATGCAATATGCGCCATTTTGGATGGAAAAAATCACGGACGATTTCCGTGATCCCTGACTCCTCACTTTGCCTGTGAATGTTGACTATTTTTACCTCACGCAAGTTGCATTGGTTGAATAAGCAGTGCAAGCCGTGTTCAGTAATAGCTAACTCTGCTAAATGAAACAATGGCAGGTAAGCTACTTTTGTAGCCGGGACAGGGTCCCCATACCACTCACTTGCTGCTATGTGGCCTGAATGCAAGTTTTAACTTACACAGCATTTGACTCTAAATGGATTGGTGAACTGACGCTAGCTAAGTAATGATTCCAATATTGTTGTTATGCAGGAGTTGCCGGTGGAAATGATTTTCAGTGGTGTTTCTCACAAGTGAAGGGAGCGATAGATGAAGATGTTGCAGAAGGTGAGTACAGTAACGTTAGCTAGTTAGGTTAACGAGTGAGTTAGCTAACGTTACTAGCGTTTGAGCTAAAATGTGATCAATGATGTGATGCTGTAATCTTATTATTTCGCTAACTACGCCTTTGACTTACTGTCTTTCCACAAACAAAGTCATGACACTGCATGTATATGAGTACCACTGCTGGGCAATGCTGAGTTTGTTTTTCTAACTAGCTAACGTTAGCATGTGAGCTAGCTCTTCTTGCTTGCAAATCAAGTTGGCTAGAATTATTAGCAAGCTGTTTTACCCAAACAACCTCCCCCTGTAACTTATGTCCCGCACATGTATGTAACATATAATAACAATTAGGAAGTCAGAATACGTCTCAATTATTGTAATGTAGGTAGTAAGATAAACGCACTGTCGTAAACTAGCGCGTCATCTTGCTAACTACTGTAGCTAGTTATGTGGGGGCGAGTTTGTCAGTGACGTCAAAGGGCTGCGTCGGGAATATGGCAATTGAACATTCTGAAGCAGTAGGGAGGGAGTCAGTTTGTTTGATTCATTCAAAGTCATAGTCATTTTTCTTGCGTTGACTGATATTGCAACTATTTTCAGGGATGCAAATATTGAAATCCACACGCTGCTCTGTCGGCTACTATGCATAGTGTGTGCACCCATGAAAGTTGCACCATGATTGTTTTTTTTAAATATTGGTTTTGGTGTTATTCTTTACCAGGTGCTGTTCTTTTGCTGATGTGTATCTATTTGATTAGAACAGCCCTTATACATTACACATGATCATGTTCCAGAATCCAGATTTAATGTGACATGTCCTCATTTCAGCTGATATCATCTCAACGGTTGAATTCAACCATTCTGGAGAGTTGCTAGCAACTGGAGACAAGGGAGGCAGAGTTGTCATATTTCAACATGAACAGGAGGTGAATTTTATAATGACAAGCTAAATGTATTTTCATGAACACTGACATACATTTTTGGAGTCAGGTATGATAGGTTGTTATGGAAAGAAAGGCACTGGATGAAATTCTAAATATAAAACATGCTTAATATCCAAGTTTGTCACGCAGTGCACATCTACTTTTCTCTTTCAGTGTAAGAATCGACCACACCTGCGAGGGGAATACAACGTTTATAGCACTTTTCAGAGTCACGAACCTGAATTTGACTACTTGAAAAGTTTAGAAATTGAGGAAAAAATTAACAAAATAAGATGGTTACCCCAACAAAACTCAGCTCACTTTCTACTCTCAACAAATGGTAAGAACATTTTGCTTTAACCTACTAACCTTTTTGTTAGGTTCTCTTCACCCTCAACATACTTTTTTTTTTTTTTTGTACAGACAAAACGATCAAATTGTGGAAAATCGGTGAACGAGACAAGCGGGCTGAGGGTTACAACTTGAAAGACGAAGACGGACGTCTCAGGGATCCCTTTAGAATTACCTCCCTCCGGGTTGGTTTAATGTTGCTTTACCTTTTAAGATTTCAACAGACACTGTACAAGGAAAAACACAGGCTCTGCATGCTTATAGCTTCCTCCCCTGAATAAATCTGTCCTGTGGTTACAGGTACCAGTGCTGATGCCCATGGATCTCATGGTAGAAGCAAGTCCTCGTAGGGTGTTTGCCAACGCTCACACATATCATATTAATTCAATTTCTGTAAATAGCGATCATCAAACGTACCTCTCCGCTGATGATCTAAGAATTAATCTATGGCACTTGGAAATCACAGACCGAAGTTTTAGTATCCTTTTCTGAAAACGTATCAGTCCCCATCATCATGACTTTTAGATGCAAATGTTTGCTTCGTCCAAACTGTCCTCTATTAGCGTATACAGTTCTCAATTTCAGTTTAGATTTAGGTGTGAACACCAAAAGTTTCTTCAATTTCAACTTATTTCAGAAGAGATAGTGAATCGTGCAAGGGAGCCAATGTTTGACGCCTTTAGACCTATTTCAGTTAATTTCCTTAACAGTGTGTTCTCAGACATTGTAGACATCAAGCCTGCCAACATGGAGGAACTGACAGAGGTGATCACAGCGGCTGAGTGCCATCCAAACCAATGCAATGTATTTGTGTACAGCAGTAGCAAAGGCACCATACGCCTCTGTGACATGCGAACAGCAGCACTCTGCGATAGGCACACCAAGTGTGAGTATTCATAGAGCCTTGTTCTCTGCATTCTAAATGATGTTCATTCACAGATAAATTAGTTTAGATTGTCTATTTTCAGGGGTTTTGTCTGTCCTTTTGAATATTTCCACGTTTGTGATTGCAGTCTTTGAGGAGCCTGAGGATCCAAGCAGCAGGTCGTTTTTCTCTGAGATCATCTCGTCCATCTCTGACGTGAAGTTCAGTCACAGCGGGCGCTACATGATGACACGGGACTACCTCTCCGTCAAGGTGTGGGACCTCAACATGGAGAACAGGCCAGTCGAGACGTATCAGGTACCTACATTGCTCTTCCTAGTGATAACACTACCAATAACGGCATCATTTTTAGTGTGGTCCACAATTGTCCAGTTAGGTGTATAGAATAGCTGGAAAGATGCAATTATTTTCCAAATACACTAATCAACATTCTCCCGCTCAGGTTCACGAATACCTTCGCAGCAAGCTTTGCTCGTTGTATGAAAATGATTGCATCTTCGACAAGTTTGAGTGCTGCTGGAACGGTAGCGACAGGTAAGAAACTCTAGCACTTTCTCTGTTTAAGGCATTCTGCAACTACTATGTTGTTATTTGGACAACTTTTCTGCCAATATGTACATTTTTAAGGAGTATCTTTGGAGAATTATAAATTACCCAGGTTCCTTCCTTTCTCAGTGCCATCATGACCGGCTCCTACAACAACTTTTTCCGGATGTTTGACCGGAACACGAGGAAGGACATTACACTGGAGGCCTCCAGGGAGTGCAGCAAACCGCGGGCTACACTCAAACCCCGCAAAGTCTCCACCGGTGGCAAGAGGAAGAAAGATGAAATCAGCGTGGACAGCCTGGACTTCAACAAGAAGATCCTGCACACCGCCTGGCACCCCAAAGAAAACGTCATCGCTGTGGCGGCCACCAACAACCTGTACATTTTCCAGGACAAGATCAACTAAAAAAAGTATTGGGCTCCATCCTGACGACAAGGCTTTACTGTTCCTGGATAGTTAAGCCTAGTGGTTTATCTGTAACAGAAACAAACAGCCCTCTCGTCCTCCTCCTCTTTTTGTTGTGGCAGGAGGTTGATTGGTCGGCCTGTTTTCTTTTGAGTCAGGTTGATTTAGTCTTGGGTGAATCAGTGCCGGGGCCAAGATCGGACCCTGAGAGCCCACCTTGCGTTGAATCAATGGAACGGCACACGCAAGAGGTCAAACTCTTGAACATTGGTGTTTGTGTTGACATTTTCAGCCTTCATTTCATAATCTAACAACCGAACTATGGAAAGCCCTGAAAATGACCTCTTGTCATTGTAACACCCTCATTAAGATTTTTTGGGCTTTCTGAAACATGGATATTTCATGCGTTATAGGCCTACCTGTTAACATTCCCCATTGACCATGCGTTCAGGCTAAAGCACTTGCAACAGGTCGTGAATTTGGAAAGTGGACATCTTCTTTTCTCCACCCACTCCCTCCTATCCCCAATTTATCCCCCAGAAATGGTAACGTTATCTCACTGACTGTATCTATTCAAATACACCTTTATGGTGTCATCCACTTAATAAAAGTAAATAGAACTACAGATGTGTTTTAAAATTGAAATCATGTTTAGAATTGTTTGCATGTTTTTATGTTGTAGTGAGGTGGAAAAAATGTAAAGTCGCACCGCGGTCTTTTGAGTAGTTCTTTCAAGCTATCACTAAAATAACTACTCTTAAGTTTCAGAATCACCATTTGAGACTGACCATGTACAAGTGTCAAGATATGTATTTATGTGTTGCTCTCATTTAAGATACAGGCTGGAAACTTAATGGGAAGAGACGCAAGACAAAGGGATTCTGCAGCCTTAATACCTACGTCTATCAATGACAGCTACCGGTTATGTCCCCAAATGTTTTACAAACCTTATGTGCATTATTTTTTTATTCTATTTTATAGATTTGTCTCATATTACTGCTGCTATTTGCGGCTGTCTGTGAAAACACAAGGTATATAATAGTCAGAGGAAGAGTACTGCACATCATACTGATAGATCTAGTGATATACAGAGTTCCTCCAAAACATGGAAAGTTTATGGTTCTTTGTGTAGTAAGAGCAGGAGATTCAGACAAACCTCTTCTTACATGTGCCCTTTAAATCATTCATTGGGATGCCACTAAAGTCAAAACTGCATACTTTGTTTTCCAAGTTCTATCAATGCAAAAATGATGGTTGAATAGACCTGTACTGATATTAAAAACAGGAACACTGGTAATAAAGCCTATCTCTGTTTAATCATTCTTAACATGGTGGCAGTGTATTCACTTGTTTAATTATGTTGACCAAAGTTAAATAAAATCTAATTGTATTCATCTGCATTATGCCTCCATTACTTTAAATGGGTGAGAATAGTCCTGGAGCTAGATGATACTGTAGATGTCTATTCAATAAGTTGCAGTATTCAGAGAAAATGAGGGAATTCATATGAGTGCTCAAAAAATACAATGTAAGTAGCAAAGATTATTATATGAATGACTTACTGATCATACAAAAATTGGAGACATCTTATTTCACAGTGATATTGACCTATAATTTTCTTTAAAACTGCATGCTAATTACATAACTTGGGATGCTTTAAAACAAGCGCCACTGCAGATGTGGTACCAGGCAATTCTTTGGAGTACCTGAAAGTACCACTTCTTACCATATTCTGTACCAGATATAGTACCAGCTGACACTGTAAAATAAATTACCAAATAAAAACATTTACATTGTTTCGTATTTATAATATACTGTAGTTACGAAAAACAAACAAAACATTTCATCATGATTGTGCTTGAATAGTTTCTACATTTATGGGCCTAATAGTAAAGACATGTATTTTAACGTTAAACATGTATTACCTTTTAATGTGGCATGAACACAACCAGTCATAATGTTTTTATCTGATTGTCAAACAAATCACTTCAAAATTGAGGCTACCTGTGCACGTTCATCCACTCCACTAATTCCAGCATCCAAACAGTGCACTGTGCACCAGCCATTGGATGAATGGAAAGAGACATCTGTTACAAAACACCAAAACGTGTAATGACATTCGGCGATTGTCTTTAGGCCTGCACTCATGTAGCCTGAATTAATTGTGTTGCTAACAAATTGACATTTTTTGTAAAAAGAAAAGTTGGGACACCTGAAAAGGGGCTGAAATACAGGACTCAAATACAAGTGTCTGTTCTGAGCTCATCGGCATGAGGGCCCAGTTGATAATGTTGCAAGTTTGCTAGCCGGCTGAACCCAGTCAATAGAATGTTGCAAGTTTTCTAGTGAAAGCTCAAGACAGACAGAGAGGCAGACAGACAGAAGAGAGATGAATGCAATTGAAAGAACCTGAACCAACTGTCACGGGTTTAAACCATGACAGAGTGGTGGGGGTGTTCATTTCATTTGGAATAAGCTTTTATTTTTGTCTTTACCACTGTAACAGTACACAATAGCATTTTAAACAAATAAATGGTTAAATTAGAGACCCCCCCCAAAGTTGGAATTCACACCCTTCCTTTCACATGTAGCATGAAATGTATTCACATGTAGCATGAAATGTATTCACAACCCCAGCTTTTTTCAAAGAAAATTAGTGCAGGAAATTATTTCACAATTAATATTAATTTACATTAATCATTCCCTTAAGAATAAAAATCAGGCAAACCACAAACTCAATATGCTTAAGAAAACGAGAAACAACAATGCCAATTGGCAGCAGTTCAATATAAAACATCAGCATTCTAAATAGCGAGAGGAACAAGGCACCACAAATCAGTTCCTGATTCAAGACATATCTGGGAGAAAGAAGCAGTCACAGCATTCAGAAGATACAATTTGAGGCAATCAGCTAAAATGGAGAATGCTACATCAACCACTTCTCCTTGGATTCTGAAGTTGCCCCATTTGAAGACATGACAGCTGTATGAGTCACAACAGTGGTGTCATAATGCAGCATCAGCTTCAGTAGGTGCTGTACGTGCTGAGGCGCCTCCCAATGTATATCCTGAGAAGGACAGAATAGCAAAGAAAGGCCATTAAAAATGTTATTTTGATTCAAGTAAAAATGAATAATGGCTGCTCTGAAATATCTATCCATGGCCAGCGGCATGCTTTCACTTAGCCTACTTTTCCTCAACAGGGTAGTGTTTACTTTATTGTATTACAACTCTCTCAAAAGGCATTTCGCTAAAATACAAAACAATTCGACAACCATCTGGGACACCGTACTTTTAGTAATAGTAAAAGGCAGCTTTGCAAGTATTCAATAGACTGCATGTATTTGTACTGTGTTTAAGTTACAAAATGCTCAGTCCCTTACCCCAGGCCAACTGCGAGTATGTGAGAAATGAATAATGAAGGGAGGAAAAGCTTGAGGAAGTCAGGGGAGAGAACACCTCCCTTCTTCATGACGCTGGTCTTCCTGATGCTGAGAGAGGCTGAGTGCCTGGGGTGTTTCAGCAGAAACTCCCTACAGAGACACAACACAGTTACAGTGGCTTGCGAAAGTATTCACCCCCCTTGGCATTTTTTGGGGGGTTGTATCATTTGATTTACACAACATGCCTACCACTTTGAAGATGCAAAATATTTTTTCTTGTGAAACAAAACTTGTGTGCATAACTATTCACCACCCCAAAGTCAATACTTTGTAGAGCCACCTTTTGCAGGCAATTACAGCTGCAAGTCTCTTGGGGTATGTCTCTACAAGTTTGGCACATCTAGCCACTGGGATTTTTGCCAATTATTCAAGGCAAAACTGCTCCAGCTCCTTCAAGTTTGATGGGTTCTGCTGGTGTACAGCAATCTTTAAGTCATACCACAGATTCTCAATTGGATTGAGGTCTGGGCTTTGACTAGGCCATTCCAAGACATTTAACTGTTTCCCCTTAAACCACTCAAGTGTTGCTTTAGCAGTATGCTGGAAGGTGAACCTCCGTCCCAGTCTCAAATCTCTGGAAGACTGAAACAGGTTTCCCTCAAGAATTTCTTTGTATTTAGCGCCATCCATCATTCCTTCACTCTGACCAGTTTCCCAGTCCCTGCCGATGAAAAACATCCCCACAGCATGATGCTGCCACCACCATGCTTCACTGTGGGGATGGCCGAAAAGCTCAATTTTAGTCTCATCTGACCAGAGTACCTTCTTCCATATGTTTGGGGATTCTCCCACATGCCTTTTGGCGAACACCAAATGTGTTTGCTTATTTTTTTCTTTAAGCAATGGCTTTTTTCTGGCCACTCTTCCATAAAGCCCAGCTCTGTGGAGTGTACGGCTTAAAGTGGTCCTACAGTGGGGGAAAAAAGTATTTAGTCAGCCAACAATTGTGCAAGTTCTCCCACTTAAAAAGATGAGAGAGGCCTGTAATTTTCATCATAGGTACACGTCAACTATGACAGACAAATTGAGATTTTTTCTCTCCAGAAAATCACATTGTAGGATTTTTAATGAATTTATTTGCATATTATGGTGGAAAATAAGTATTTGGTCACCTACAAACAAGCAAGATTTCTGGCTCTCACAGACCTGTAACTTCTTCTTTAAGAGGCTCCTCTGTCCTCCACTCGTTACCTGTATTAATGGCACCTGTTTGAACTTGTTATCAGTATAAAGACACCTGTCCACAACCTCAAACAGTCACACTCCAAACTCCACTATGGCCAAGACCAAAGAGCTGTCAAAGGACACCAGAAACAAAATTGTAGACCTGCACCAGGCTGGGAAGACTGAATCTGCAATAGGTAAGCAGCTTGGTTTGAAGAAATCAACTGTGGGAGCAATTATTAGGAAATGGAAGACATACAAGACCACTGATAATCTCCCTCGATCTGGGGCTCCACGCAAGATCTCACCCCGTGGGGTCAAAATGATCACAAGACCGGTGAGCAAAAATCCCAGAACCACACGGGGGGACCTAGTGAATGACCTGCAGAGAGCTGGGACCAAAGTAACAAAGCCTACCATCAGTAACACACTACGCCGCCAGGGACTCAAATCCTGCAGTGCCAGACGTGTCCCCCTGCTTAAGCCAGTACATGTCCAGGCCCATCTGATGTTTGCTAGAGTGCATTTGGATGATCCAGAAGAGGATTGGGAGAATGTCATATGGTCAGATGAAACCAAAATATAACTTTTTGGTAAAAGCTCAACTCGTCGTGTTTGGAGTACAAAGAATGCTGAGTTGCATCCAAAGAACACCATACCTACTGTGAAGCATGGGGGTGGAAACATCATGCTTTGGGGCTGTTTTTCTGCAAAGGGACCAGGACGACTGATCCGTGCAAAGGAAAGAATGAATGGGGCCATGTATCGTGAGATTTTGAGTGAAAACCTCCTTCCATCAGCAAGGGCATTGAAGATGAAACGTGGCTGGGTCTTTCAGCATGACAATGATCCCAAACACACCGCCCGGGCAACGAAGGAGTGGCTTCGTAAGAAGCATTTCAAGGTCCTGGAGTGGCCTAGCCAGTCTCCAGATCTCAACCCCATAGAAAATCTTTGGAGGGAGTTGAAAGTCCGTGTTGCCCAGCGACAGCCCCAAAACATCACTGCTCTAGAGGAGATCTGCATGGAGGAATGGGCCAAAATACCAGCAACATTGTGTGAAAACCTTGTGAAGACTTACAGAAAACATTTGACCTGTGTCATTGCCAACAAAGGGTATATAACAAAGTATTGAGAAACTTTTGTTATTGACCAAATACTTATTTTCCACCATAATTTGCAAATACATTCATAAAAAATCCTACAATGTGATTTTCTGGAGAAAAAAAATCTCATTTTGTCTGTCATAGTTGACGTGTACCTATGATGAAAATTACAGGCCTCTCTCATCTTTTTAAGTGGGAGAACTTGCACAATTGGTGGCTGACTAAATAGTTTTTTTCCCCACTGTATGTACAGATACTCCAATCTCCGCTTTGGAGATTTGCAGGTCCTTCAGGGTTATCTTTGGTCTCTTTGTTGCCCCTCTGATTAATGCCCTCCTTGCCTGGTCCGTGAGTTTTGGTGGCAGGTTTGTTGTGGGCCATATTCTTTCCATTTTTTAATAATGGATTTAATGGTGCTCTGTGGGATGTTCAAAGTTTCTGATATTTTTTTACCCAACCCTGATCTGTACTTCTCCACAACTTTGTCCCTGACCTGTTTGGAGAGCTCCTTGGTCTTCATGGTGCCGCTTGCTTGGTGGTGCCCCTTGCTTAGTGTTGTTGCAGACTCTGGAGCCTTTCAGAACAGGTGTATATATACTGAGATCATGTGACATCATGTGACACTTAGATTGCACACAGGTGGACTTTATTTAACTAATTATGTGACTTCTGAAGGTAATTGGTTGCACCAGATCTTATTTAGGGACTTCATAGCAAAGCGGGTGAATACATATGCACGCACCACTTTTCCGTTATTTATTTTTAATTTTTTTTTGAAACAAGTTATTTTTTAAATTTCACTTCACCAATTTGGACTATTTTGTGTATGTCCATTACATGTAATCCAAATAAAAATCCATTTAAATTACAGGTTGTAATGCAACAAAATAGGAAAAACGCCAAGGGGGATGAATACTTTTGCAAGGCACTGTACAACTGGGTTAGTAAACTTTAGCTTAAATCAGTGATTACAGGGATTTTTCTGCCATTGAAATCCTTGGGTGGGCCGCCTAAGCGTATTTTCGCGTTGCCTAAGTCCAAACAGTAGGTATGGAAAAACCCTTTCAGTGTAAACTTAAACGACTAAAACCAGATCTAAAGTATGTTTAAGTGATAAAGCCCTCGAAGCTGCTGTTTGGAGGATATATTGGATATATAAACCGTGCCAATATATCCTCCAAACATCGCCTTCGAGGGCATTATCACTTTTATACAACGGCTTACCAACATATTCAAATAATGATTTACAGTGAGGGAAAAAAGTATTTGATCCCCTGCTGATTTTGTACATTTACCCACTGACAAAGAAATGATCAGTCTATAATTTTAATGGTAGGTTTATTTGAACAGTGAGAGACAGAATAACAACAAAAAAACCAGAAAAACGCATGTCAAAAATGTTATAAATTGATTTGCATTTTAAATTAGGGAAATAAGTATTTAACCCCCTCTCAATCAGAAAGATTTCTGGCTCCCAGGTGTATTTTATACAGGTAACGAGCTCAGATTAGGAGCACATTCTTAAAGGGAGTGCTCCTAATCTCAGCTTGTTACCTGTATAAAAGACACCTGTCCAAAGAAGCAATCAATCAATCAGATTCCAAACTCTCCACCATGGCCAAGACCAAAGAGCTCTCGAAGGATGTCAGGGACAAGATTGTAGACCTACACAAGGCTACAAGACCATCGCCAAGCAGCTTGGTGAGAAGGTGCCAACAGTTGGTGCGATTATTCACAAATAGAAGAAACACAAAAGAACTGTCAATCTCCCTCGGCCTGGGGCTCCATGCAAGATCTCACCTCGTGGAGTTGCAATGATCATGAGAACGGTGAGGAATCAGCCCAGAACTACATGGGGGGATCTTGTCAATGATCTCAAGGCAGCTGGGACCATAGTCACCACGAAAACAATTGGTAACACACTACGCCGTGAAGGACTGAAATCCTGCAGCGCCCGCAAGGTCCCCCTGCTCAAGAAAGCACATATACATGCCCGTCTGAAGTTTGCCAATGAACATCTGAATGATTCAGAGGAGAACTGGGTGAAAGTGTTGTGGTCAGATGAGACCAAAATCGAGGTCTTTGGCATCAACTCAACTCGCCGTGTTTGGAGGAGGAGGAATGCTGCCTATGACCCCAAGAACACCATCCCCACCGTCAAATATGGAGGTGGAAACATTATGCTTTGGGGGTGTTTTTCTGCTAAGGGGACAGGACAACTTCACCGCATCAAAAGGGGCGATGGACAGGGCCATGTACCGTCAAATCTTGGGTGAGAACCTCCTTCCCTCAGCCAGGGCATTGAAAATGGGTCGTGGATGGGTATTCCAGCATGACAATGACCCAAAACACACGGCCAAGGCAACAAAGGAGTGGCTCAAGAAGAAGCACATTAAGGTCCTGGAGTAGCCTAGCCAGTCTCCAGACCTTAATCCCATAGAAAATCTGTGGAGCTGAAGGTTCGAGTTGCCAAACGTTAGCCTCGAAACCTTAATGACTTGGAGAAGATCTGCAAAGAGGAGTGGGTCAAAATCCCTCCTGAGATGTGTGCAAACCTGGTGGCCAACTACAAGAAACGTCTGAACTCTGTGATTGCCAACAAGGGTTTTGCCACCAAGTACTAAGTCATGTTTTGCAGAGGGGTCGAATACTTCTTTCCCTCATTAAAATGCAAATCAATTTATAACATTTTTGACATGCGTTTTTCTGGATGTTTTTGTTGTTATTCTGTCTGTTCAAATAAACCTACCATTAAAATTATAGACTGATCATTTCTTTGTCAGTGGGCAAACGTACAAAATCAGCAGGGGATCAAATACTTTTTTCCCTCACTGTACATATTTCCATTAAAAGCGTTATTTTGATTAATTTATTCATACTATTTCATCCTTCCACAAGATATAGTCGCGACACAAATCTAGGGTTGCTACCCAAGCCGGCTGGTCGTTCGTTCTATCGGTTCGGTTGCCAGAGATGGGACCCAGTCGTTCAGTCTTTTTGTTCTTTATCTATGGACACGACCCAGTTGTTCGTTCTAAATGTTCAATTTCCATACTGGCTGGCAATGTTCTCATCCCTTGCTTGCTAGCTAGCCAACTACGGCTAACTTACAGTCCATAAAAATGATGCTGATTCATGATTTCGACTGGCTGAGAAAAGCTGCCTGTCTGTCTGTCTGTCTGTCTCATCCCGACTCGTTCATTACTACGGGACAGCTGGAGATCGAATTTGAATATTGAAACAAAGACCCTTCTCTGTACAATTCAGCTGTGCCGACATGTTCTCTCTCTACATTCCATTTCCATCTTCAGCATTATGAACATTGGGCCCTACTGTATATAATTACAGGGTACTACGCACTTTGGTGGGTTGTTCTCAGGACGACTGGACCAGTCCCAGATCCAGTCAGCATTCTTCTTCAGTAGATTCTCTACTTCCCGGATTCTTTCTTGGTTATCTTCCTCAGACTGAAATCAATGTAGAAATGCCTTAGTAAACAACTTTAGAACTTCCCACATTGGAATCATAAACATGTTTGTACTATTCACCTAATGTAAAGTCTGGTATTATCCTGAATTATTACCTTCTGAACGTCACAATACATATCAGAAGAACAACAGAAGACAACCTTACAACCCCTAAGGACCATGTATTTACCTGTGAACTGTTTCCCTCTGAGCCTCTAAACAGAAGAAGAGGTGTCTGTGACCTAAGCGGACTGGAAAGATAGACAATAAAGATGACTCAGGATATCGTTAGAACTTTTGAAATGTGTGTTAGGTAATCTGCTAAGATGGGGTACCAAGGCTTTGCCTGGAAACCAGATGTTGAATTGCATTGAATTGTACGTCGGGCAAAAATGAGCATTTGAATCAGGAAAGTTTCCTCTCACAACCCAAAATGTTTTAAAAAATTAGATTTTAACATACTTTACCGGTTTGCCCGTGCTGTTGGTCCTTTTGGCAGTAGGAATGTGAGACAATATATCCCCAGAAAAGTATAATTACATCAACTTTTCAAAGAGATGGTAGTGCGATCAGATTTCTATCACCTGAAGCATGTGCACAAGATAAAAATACATGCGGGAGAAGCATGCATTCTTGCCGAGCTCCTGCATGTGTTTACATGGTTCTCCCGTGTAGGGCTTTGAAAAGTGTATTTAATTATACTCTCCTGTGGATATATTGTCTCACATTCCTACCCCCAAAAGGACCAACTGCACGGGCAACTGGTAAAGTAGTTTAAAATACAATTGTATTCAACATTCTGGCTTGTAGAGGTCATGAGTGGTAACTTCCCTGATACAAACACTAATTTCTGCCTGACATAGAATTCAATACAATTCAATGTCAGGTTTCCTGGGAAACTAAGGCTCAGCTAAGGCTCAGCACAGTAACCATTTCCTTTCCCCATACCTGTCGCATTGTGAACTTCCTCTTGAGGTACTCCTGCTTGACTCGTGTTGGGCGTCAAGTAGTAACTTCTCCAGGTCTACATCAAGAGGGGTTGTTGAGATCTGCTCCTGGCTCCCCTGACTCCCACTGCCAGTGTTATAGTGCAGCTCCACCCAGGAACCTGTGGATACATATTACCCACAGATAGATAGAAACTAGTTTGACAACTTAGCTAACGTTAGTAGCTAGATATTTTCCTTTGTAGCGTTTAGTGTTGAATCTTGCCAGTCAGGAATGAACGGAAGTTTAACGTGATCCAATTCCGTAAGAAATAGATTTTTGGGACTAAGTTAACAGTCATGGGGCTAGTTAGTTAGCTATTATTTGACAAGCTTTAACAATATTCCCCTGACCTGACAACTTCCAGTTGATGCCAACATTAGCTAACTAGGTAGCTAGTTTGTTAGTCAGCTACATAGACTTACATAACAATTATTTGTGGCCAGCTAACGTTAGCTAAAAAAGCTTGTTTGATGTTAGTTACTGTACTTACCCTGCAAGCTCTCCTTATACGGAATTTCCTTCTGAAGCGACATGTTTATTTAAAAAGTCTTTAAATCTACAGATAGAGCTCTGTCGACGAACTATAAAAACGTCTGGTCTTATTTTAATCGATCACACGAGTAAGCGCTAGAAGTTGTTGTGCAACACTACCAGGCAGCAGGAAAACAATGATAACGAAATGTTTTGTTGACAATGGCCAAGTGAAATGTGATTGGCTAGTAACTTATGGGTGGTCGTTGGTGAACATCACGCATGCGCTGCTCACATGTACAGTATGAGCACAGAGTGTGTACTGTCTTTGGTCAGAGAAGAAGAGGTGAAGAGAGAGTCCCAACTCGGCGGAAATTTCGTCTCCCTCCAGTAGGTGGCGTTTTTCCGCCCACCAAGCGATGTGTTTTTGTATGGAGGTCAATGACAGTGTCGAATTTGGTCAACAAAAAATGAATGGCTTATTTGCTGTGTCAGGTTTATTTGATTTAATATACGTTTTGTAATGCTTAGGTTGTTACGAGTGTACTGATATAAGTAGGACACGTGACATCCCCGCAACCTTTAGAGAAAAAAAAAACTTGATATCAGAGTTGTCTCGAGATTCATAGCATGAGGCTAGTAGCATAGCATCTCTCTCCATCTCTCTCTCTGTATCCACCAATCCAAAGAAAGGATAGGCGGGAACTAGTTAGCCCGCCGTGCCGCTTTGTGGACAACGAATCCCATTGTTAGGGCGGAGAGACAAGTATCTTGACATTATATCCATAATATTTGCTTTGGTACTAGCCTTGGAGCTGGTCGTCATTAGTTACCACAGCCACAACGTCACAAACGTTACATTTACATTTTAGTCATTTAGCAGACGCTCTTATCCAGAGCGACTTACAGTTAGTGAGTGCATACATTATTCTTTTATATATATATATATATATATTTTTTACTGGCCCCCCGTGGGAATTGAACCCACAACCCTGGCGTTGCAAACGCCATGCTCAACCAACTGAGCTACATCCCCCGCCTATTTCTACAATTTATGTTCTTAAAATCAGATTTAAACCTAACTAACCTTAAACTGCTACCCTTATGCCTAACCCAAACCTTAAATTAAGACCAAAAATATGTTTATGATATAGCCAATTATGACTTTGTGGCTGTGGTAACTAGTGGAAACCACTGGGGCTTGAGGCTCGTGGGGCATTTAAGCCCTGAACAGCGCCTGACAGGCAGCTTTGTCTCCCAGGCTGCGTGCCCTCCCCCAAGACCAGAGCCAATCGTATGCAAGGAACAACGAGCCATAGTCAGAGACAGAAAGCTGCAGCATAGAGGAAAAAAAGGTAATGTAGCATCTTTCAAAATTAAGGCAACTATATACTGATATATCACTGATATTATATCAGGCTTATTTATTTTAGATGCACAATCTTTTTGTGTTTTTTAGCTAGCTTGCTAGCAGGGCTACTTAGGAAGCTCACTTGGTTAGCTAGTCTTGTGAGCTAGCTAGCTAATTAGCAAGATAGTCTTGTTAGCTAGCTAGCTGGTTATCTATGTAGGTTGTTAGCTTGCATAACTGATATGTGTATAATTATGAAGGGACACTTCATGTTTTTGGTATAATGTTTACATTTACAGAGCTCCATTCCTGACAGGCTGATCAGATTAGCTTTCAGTCTCAGAGTTTGATCAGATTCAATATCAGCTTCAGAGGCTGATAAATCAGGATGCTGCCTTGTAGGCTGTTTCATGAGCAAGCTCCTTGCAGGGATATTAGCAGTCAAAGTGCCTTATAGGCTGATGCATATCTGATCCAGTGGGTGAGCTCTATTCCTGGCAGGCTGATCAGATTCAATCGCAAATGAACATGCTTGCCAGGCTAATTGCCAGGCTAATTAGTTTACATAGGACTACAGTGATTTGCAATTTGGAAGTAATTGAAAATGTAATTTAGTCCAAAAAGTAGGCAAAAATAAATAGTAAGAAGGGTCTAAAATCCACTTCACTCCAATTCACTTGAGCTGTACACCATTGGCTAATAAGACAAGACAGGGGAAATCTTAGGGATCCATCAGCAAGGCACGCTGTTATAAGAGGAATGGTGTCTCTGAAGCATTGCAGTACAGTAAGTTACGCATCTTATATTGTTTTACATAATATTGTTTCAACGTAATGGTGCAGTCCTTAGTCCCAATGTAAACATAACAGTAGCCTTGCCACATAATGCTGAAGAATGAGGTTGGAGAAATGTTCACCTCTCTCAAATTCATAGTCATAGTAGCCTCGCACGACCACCCTGAACTCGCGAGCTTCCACTCTGTTTCACTTGTGGTTTCAAACTGTGAGCAGAACAGTGGAAGCTCAGGAAATTTCAAGATGGTCTTACTCTTATGTGGCTATAGTCATAAGTCTAGACAGCTCAGAATGGCCATCAGTGACAGCCCGTTGGGAGTTTTGAATGTACTCTGAAGAAGTGGAGGCTGCTGAGGGGAGGGCGGTTCATAATATTTACATTTACGTCATTTAGCAGACGCTCTTATCCAGAGTGACTTACAAATTGGTGCATTCACCTTATAGCCAGTGGGGTAACCACTTTACAATATGGTTTTTTTCTTTCTTTTTTTTTCTTTGGGGTGGGGTAAGGGGGGGTAGAAGGATTACTTTATCCTATCCCAGGTATTCCTTAAAGAGGTGGGGTTTCAAGTGTCTCCGGAAGGTGGTGAGTGACTCCGCTGTCCTGGCGTCGTGAGGGAGCTTGTTCCACAATTGGGGTGCCAGAGCAGCGAACAGTTTTGACTGGGCTGAGCGGGAACTGTGCTTCCGCAGAGGTAGGGGGGCCAGCAGGCCAGAGGTGGATGAACGCAATGCCCTGGTTTGGGTGTAGGGACTGATCAGAGCCTGAAGGTACAGAGGTGCCGTTCCCCTCATAGCTCCGTAGGCAAGCACCATGGTCTTGTAGCAGATGCGAGCTTCAACTGGAAGCCAGTGGAGTGTGCGGAGGAGCGGGGTGACGTGAGAGAACTTGGGAAGGTTGAACACCAGACGGGCTGCGGCATTCGGGATGAGTTGTAGGGGTTTAATGGCACAGGCAGGGAGCCCAGCCAACAGTGAGTTGCAGTAATCCAGACGGGAGATGACAAGTCCCTGGATTAGAACCTGTGCCGCTTCCTTTAGGACCTGTGCCGCTTCCTGGCTCGAATGGAGTCAATGGAATGGTATCAAATATGGTTTCCATGTGGTTGATACCATTCCATTGACTCCATTCCAGCCATTACTATGAACCGTCCTCCCCTCAGCAGCCTCCACTGCTCTGAAGCCGTAAAAGGTTTATCTGTCATGCAGAGGTTTGTGTGTGTTTGATAGTTGCACAAAAAATAGTTGGAGAAATCCCCCCAAATGAGGAAACGGATACAGATTTGATTGTGACAAGCTTGACTAATTCAGCAGAGGACTGTATGTCAAAGTGGTGCATAAAAGACATGATAAGCGATTTGAGCAGTTGGCGTGATAGTGCTGATTCAAGCCCTCATTGGAAGTTTATTCAACTGTTAAACATGTGCACCAACTTGTCTTCGGAAGTTACACAGCAGTATGTAGAAAGGGGAAAATTGAGAGGCTCCACAACTACAGGAAACAATTGAGTTGTCCAGCATTCAGTCGATTTAGGCTTTGTCAGTGCTGTGCTGATGCTGCAATGTCAATCAGCATGAGGGACAGAATACATGGGTGGATGTTTCAGTAGACTATTATTTTTGAGAAAATCGACAATGTTATTGTCCAACAATACAACGTTATTGTCCATAGAAGGCACATTTACCGTAGATATATTTATCTCTAGATGCATGGACAACTAATTATTATTCCAGCTCAATCTCCATGTTTTTTTAGGTGGTAAAAGTTCTGCCGGAGGGGGAGTGGTTCCAGAATGAGAGCAGAGGGGGAGAGGAGGCTGAGAGGGGCGCAAGGTGAGCCTTCCTTGGGGAACATAGGACCAACCAAGAGGAGCAACCACAGGAGTACTCCATCCAGAAGTAGGTCATCTTGTTCTGTGGAACCTCTTGGCCTCCTTGACTTGTGGCTGTCCTATGAGCTTAAAAGTGCTCACGCCAAACTTTTTATTGTTTTATTGCCTTGTAAAAAAAAAAATCATATTATATGGACCATCAGTGATTAACTGTCTACCACCACTGATGTTCTCCACAGGCCAGCCTATTATGCAGACTCTGACGGCCGGGTCCGAGGGGGGGTGGGAAGGGAAGAAGAGGAGGAGGAGGAAACAGAATCATGGATACTACCAGTAGCTTCAACCTGAGGGGCAAGAGAATATGCCACAGTGGAATGTGAGTGCTGATCAATCTTGCAAATGAGATTTGTACACTTGGTAAATGTAAAGTTGTTTTCCTGTCTTTCAGAGGCATCTCCCCTGAGGAGAAGAGAGGAGGCTGTGGGCTCTGGAACTGGGGCTCTGTTCAAGACCCTATGGCCATGGGGTGAGTACCACATAAAAAAAGTCCCTCTTAAGAAATTAAACAAAATTTGCAGGAGCTGTAGGTAGACTGGACTTCTGTAGACCCCTGTTAGAACTCCGGAGCCCCAGGCTCAGCACAATAGAGGAGCTCTAGCTTTGGGTATGGAGTGACTTAAGGGACAAAATGCACACAAAATGCAAACCTCAATAATACTAAATGTTCTTATTTTAATTAAAGACCCTAAAGAGGGATTAAGAATGACACATGCAGTTATCCATTCTAATCTTAATAAAGGACATGTGGCCAACTAAGAGAAGAAATCTCGCACACAAATACAACAGCATAGAAGAGAGCAGTGAGACATACACAATGAAAGGGGAGAGAGAAGGGAAATATAGTCTTGTAAAGCACAATGATTGTAAAGAACATTGAGTTTTCTGTCCTTTGGACTGTTAAAAAAGGGCTATGTGATTTCCCTTATTGAAAAATGATTTGTCAGCAGAATCACAAACAGCCAATAACAGGTTGCCGGTGTCTGAAAGCAAGTAGATAGTGTGAGCAGTAAAGTTGAGAGAAGCTAT